CCTTTACAAAATTTAAATCTCATTGGCAATACATACTTTTCTACAGAAAACTGCATTTTTTCAAAAGGTGCCTGACATCACATTATTAACTGCAGTATATTTTTAAGCATAATATTTCATTTAGATAAGTACATTTATAAAGGTTCATAGAGTAAGGGCACTATTGGCATAAAGGTAAGAAACTTTAATATTCACTGTGGTAAGGGTGGAAATGGGAATATGATCTATGATAAAGATGCAGCGCTTAAAGTCATGAAATGATATACACAAAAACGATGAATCATTATAACTTAGTACATATAAACATAATAATGTGTAAATAAAATAATCATAAAGTGCTTCAGTGCTACCAACACTGCTAATAAAACATTCACTATAATGTGCTAATGTAAGCAAAAGACAAATAAATATTAACCAATATATCACAAAGTGCTAGTGTAAAAGGAAATGTCCAATAATCTCTATATATCTCAATCTTCTCCATACTTTGTGCATAAGAGTGCCCAGGTGTAGAAAAAGCATTCCACTTCAGCAGTGTGAAAATCCTCCACCTTTTATGCACTCACCAGACAGCTAAAATTCAGCGGCATGTACTATAGCTAATGCTGTATCTCCATTTACACTCCTCAGCACTCCAGCCCCAGGCCTAGATTAATAAAGATTATTAGGACATTTAATTTTACACTAGCACTTTATGGTATATATTTTTTTTTTGTTTACTTGCCGTTTGGGTACATTTGCACACTATAGTGAATGCTTTATTAGTAGTGTTATTAGCACTGAAGCAGTTTATGATTATTTTATTTATGCATCAATATGTTTGAATGTTTTAAGTTATATTGATTCATCATTTTTGTGTATATAATTTTATGACTTTAAGTGCAGAACTGACTTTTTTCATTGTTTTTTAGGCTTGTCACCTTTTTTTGTGCTAACTGCTATTTCCTCTGAGCGCTCACTTTTACCGCTTTAGCTGTTTTGAAAAAAATGAAACTATGCTCTAACGCTAGTAGCTGCTTAACCCCATTTTCACCCCCCCAAAAAAAAAAGAATTTCTTTGGACAGCATTTTGGAAGTTAACCCTAATAATTTTTAAAAAAATACTTTGATACTTTATACTTTCTTTGTCCATCTTCAGTCTGAGTAGTATTACATAAAAAAATATATAATTTCTCTAAAAATACCAATTAATCATTTGCTTTAAGCATCTTGTGTGTAAAAATACTTGTGAACAGCATTATAACATTTATCTTCGAAACCATGTAGCCATTTATTTTCAAATAACAAGAAAAAATGTTTGTACCACATACAAGAAAAAAACAAGATACAATCTTATGCCTAAAGTTATTTTGCTCAAAATAATTCTCTCATGATTAATGCTTTTGTAGCAGCTGGACTCAGAAATGAATGTATAGTGCAAGGCTTGCAGTTTTCTAACCTAGTTTATAGCTTTTTGTTTTCAAAGTTATTTTTTTTTTCATCTCTAATACTCATGAAGAAGGATTTACTTAGAACCATTTTCTAAACTTCCTAATAATAGTTACATGGATTCTGAATTGCATTTATGTTATAAATATCATATCAGTTTGTTTCACCGCCAGCACTATATAAAAACCAGAAGCAGTAGACTGCAGGAAAACGTTGATGCTTTTTTGTGATGTTGTCACATCTGGTCTAGGGCTCTTTTTACCAGGAAAAAACCCTAATAACCATCTTATAAAGCAGTGAATGTGACATTTACCAAACATTCACTACAGGTGAATCAATATCAGTAATTTAAAACACATGCACCAAGGAGATTCACCTAATGATTGGTAAATGTAATTTTTGCTGCATGATATACCGCTGCCAATGAAAAGGCACGGTTTGACATTTTAAATATAGTTTTTAAGAAAAAAAGATTGAACAATGTGATGAGCCATAATTAGTGCATTAGCACTGCAGTCATCCCACTGAATTATACCACACACCAGCCACTGCATTATAATGCAAAGTCTGGTGTGCATAGACCCTAAAACATTTTTTTATCCTAATTCTTCTAGCAGGCTTACCAAGTGAGAGTGACATCAGTGGGTCTTCTTGCATGATCTTGGGAAGATTAAGGATTCTAAATCCCACAAGAGCATGCTCCTGCACCACTTTGTGGTATCCATTTGTGAGAAATGGGATCCTAAGCTTTCCCAAGATCCCTCTGTAAGTGTCAGTAACAGGGAGTGGCCAGGGTAACGTGTGTTTTTTTTTCTTTTTTTACAGTTTTTTATACTTTTTCTATTTCTGTATTACAGTGTTTTTAACAGCGGGCAGGGGGCAGCAACATATGTAGACCTTGCATGACCTTGCTTTAATTTATATTGTAGTGATGGAAATAATGTTAACTATGCCCTAACTATAACACAATGAATGAGTTTTTTTGAAAGTAAAAGTGTGTCTGGTTCCTTTGCATCATCCCCACCAGAGTTTTGCATGTATTGTGTCTAATGATCCTGGACTACAAAAGTCACTCTATTTGTCATGCATACAGAAGTAAATAGCCAATTGGATTACCCTGCAGTTCTTTATTTGAACATAGCAGTTAAGGACAAGAAAAAAACACCACATCTGGACATTATTTTTTTCCTCATTTCTCATTGCAAACTGCTCCACCTCTGTAAGGTTGCATAGAAATTGATATTTGGACTCTGACTTTCAAGGACATTATTATTATTATCATTATTATTATTAATAATAATAATATAATATTATACAGGATTTATATAGCACCAACAGCTTGCGTAGTGCTTTACAAAATGAAGGTAGACATTACAGTTGCAATACAATTTGGTACAAGAGGAAAAAGAGGGCCCTGCTCACCAGAGCTTACAATCTAGGAGGAAGGGTTGAATGATACAAAAGGTAATAGCACTGGAGGGTGAGCTGATGGAGAAAATAAAAGACAGTTTACTAGTTAGAAGCAGGTGTCAGGGCTCCCAGGTGTGACCAGAGGTGTGTGACTGACGCAGGGAAACGCAGACCTCAGATATGTGATAAACAATATAATTTATTAACACTAACAATACAAACATAAACGCAGTGCAATACTAAACATAATACAGTGCAAACAAACCAACCACCCACAGATAACAGTACATACAAGCAAGCGTCGTCAGGCAGGCCGGGTCAATATCAATAGGGCAGGTAGGTACAGGGGGAGCAAGCGGAGATTGGTCGGGGTCACAGGCCAGGTTCAGCAGTTAGCTAGCAGCGTAGTACAGAGGGTCAGGCAGAGGGATGGTCAGGGTCACAAGCCAGGGATCAGAACAGGTAGCAGGCAGCGTAGTACAGAGGGTCAGGCAGAGGGATGGTCAGACAAGCCAGAGATCAGAAAAGGTAGCAGAGAATCAGACAGGAACAGAGAGCAGGAACAGGATACAGAGCCCAAGAGAAACACAACACCAAGGCAGAGTCTGCAAGTCTGGCCATCCCTTAAATACCCCAGCATAATCAGTTCCAGGTGTTAGCTGGCTGCAAAGTTGAGTCTCTGATTGCTGGGAGCATCCGCTGGCCAGCCCTGGTACTGCAGATCAAAAGGCAGGTGAGTCCCACCATTGCTGGCTAGTCCATTCCTGACAGTACCCCCCCCCCTCAAGGAGCGGCCTCAGGACGCTCCAAACAGTCCTAGCTGGGCAAAATGTTCCACCGCCCGGGTCTGGTAACTGGCGGGATATCAAAGACTGGCACACCGGGCAGTACTCCGGGCAGCGGCACACCGGGCAGGACTCCGGGCAGCGGCACACCGGGCAGAGGCACACACCGGGCAGAGGCACATTGGGCAAAGGCACACCGGGCTGGACTCCGGGCAAAGGCACACCGGGCTGGACTCCGGGCAGAGGCACATCGGGCTGGACTCCGGGCAGAGGCACATCGGGCTGGACTCCGGGCAGAGGCACATCGGGCTGGACTCCGGGCAGAGGCACATCGGGCTGGACTCCGGGCAGAGGCACATCGGGCTGGACTCCGGGCAGAGGCACATCGGGCAGGACTCCGGGCAGGGGCACATCGGGCTGGACTCCGGGCAGAGGCACATCGGGCAGGACTCCGGGCAGAGGCACATCGGGCAGGACTCCGGGCAGAGGTACATCGGGCTGGACTCCGGGCAGAGGCACATCGGGCTGGACTCCGGGCAGAGGCACATCGGGCTGGACTCCGGGCAGAGGCACATCGGGCTGGACTCCGGGCAGAGGCACATCGGGCTGGACTCCGGGCAGAGGCACATCGGGCAGGACTCCGGGCAGAGGCACATCGGATTACCAGGCGAAGCAGCAGGCAGCGGGCCACCGGGCCGGAGCAACAGGCACCGGGCCCCCGGGCGGAGCAGCAGGCACCGGGCCCCCGGGCGGGGCGCCAGGCACCGGGCCCCGGGCGGGCGACAGGCGTCGGGCTTCGGGCGGGCGGGGCGACAGGCGTCGGGCCCCCAGGCGGGGCGACAGGCGTCGGGCCCCCAGGCGGGGCGACAGGCGTCGGGCCCCCAGGCGGGGCGACAGGCGTCGGGCCCCCAGGCGGAGCGACAGGTCTCGGGCCCTCAGGCGGAGCGGCGGGCGCCGGACCCCCAGATGGAGTGACAGGTCTCGGGCCCCCAGGCGGAGCGGCGGGCGCCGGACCCCCAAGTGGAGCGACAGGTCTCGGGCCCTCAGGCGGAGCGGCGGGCGCCGGACCCCCAGATGGAGCGACAGTTCTCGCCCCCCAGGCGGAGCGACAGGTCTCGGGCCCTCAGGCGGAGCGGCGGGCGCCGGACCCCCAGATGGAGCGACAGGTCTCGGGCCCTCAGGCGGAGCGGCGGGCGCCGGACCCCCAGGTGGAGCGACAGGTCTCGGGCCCTCAGGCGGAGCGGCAGGCGCCGGACCCCCAGGTGGAGCGACAGGTCTCGGGCCCCCAGGCGGAGCGACAGGTCTCGGGCCCTCAGGCGGAGCGGCGGGCGCCGGACCCCCAGGCGGAAGCGACAGGTCTCGGGCCCCCAGACGAAGCGGCGGGCACCGAGTCACCAGGCACGACAGTGGGCACCGAGTCGTCTGGCAAGACTGCGGGCACCGAGTCGTCTGGCAAGACTGCGGGCACCGAGTCGTCTGGCAAGACTGCGTGCACCGAGTCGTCTGGCAAGACTGCGGGCATCGAGTCAAACTGGCGGAACAACAGCGGCACCATCGAGTCGTCTGGCAAGACTGCGGGCACCGAGTCATCTGGCAAGACTGCGGGCACCGAGTCGTCTGGCGGAACAGCGGGCATCGAGTCAACTGGCGGAACAGCGGGCATGGAGTCAACTGGCGGGACTGCGGGCACCGAGTCGTCTGGCAAGACTGCGGGCACCGAGTCGTCTGGCAAGATTGCTGCGGGCACCGAGTCGTCTGGCAAGACTGCGGGCACCGAGTCGTCTGGCAAGACTGCGGGCACCGAGTCGTCTGGCAAGACTGCGGGCATCGAGTCAACTGGCGGAACAGCGGGCACCGAGTCATCTGGCAAGACTGCGGGCACCGAGTCGTCTGGCAAGACTGCGGGCACCGAGTCGTCTGGCAAGACTGCGGGCACCGAGTCGTCTGGCAAGACTGCGGGCACCGAGTCGTCTGGCAAGACTGCGGGCATCGAGTCAACTGGCGGAAACAGCGGGCACCGAGTCGTCTGGCAAGACTGCGGGCACCGAGTCGTCTGGCAAGACTGCGGGCACCGAGTCGTCTGGCAAGACTGCGGGCACCGAGTCGTCTGGCAAGACTGCGGGCACCGAGTCGTCTGGCACGACAGCGGGCACTGGATCAGGTACCGGATCATCTGGATCAACAGCGGGCATCGAGTCAACTGGCCTAATAGGATCGTCGGGCTGGATCAGTTCATCATGCTGAGTAGCGGCATCAGGCTGAATGCAGGCATCAGGCCGAGTAGAGGCTTCAGGCTGAGTAGAGGCTTCAGGCTGAAGAGAGGCTTCAGGCTGAAGAGAGGCATCAGGCTGAAGAGAGGCATCAGCTGAAGAGAGGCATCCGGCTGAAGAGAGGCATCCGGCTGAAGAGAGGCATCCAGCTGAAGATAGGCATCAGGCTGAAGAGAGGCATCCGGCTGAAGAGAGGCATCAGGCTGAAGAGAGGCATCAGGCTGAAGAGAGAGCATCAGGCTGAAGAGAGGCATCAGGCTGAAGAGAGGCATCCGGCTGAAGAGAGGCTTCAGGCTGAGTAGAGGCTTCAGGCTGAGTCACGGAAGGCAGGCTCACCGGTTTGGATACTGGCAGGATGGTATTGGTTGGAAAGAATTTTCGCTTTTTTCTGGTTTTAACTACTGGAGCACTGCAAGTAAACGCAGGTCTGCAAACGAATGGAGCAGCTGGAGACAGAGAAAAACTGGAGGATGGAACAGGAGAGGGAGCAGTTGCTACAGAGGGCTTTTTTACAGGGTTAAAGGCAGGATAGGTGCAGCGAGTGGGAACAGGGTACTGACATGCGGTAGATAGCCAAGTATACTGGGCTGTAACTGGAGGAGCTGGTGGGAATACAGGAGTAGAGTTAGAAGCAGGACTGGGTTTTTGTAAGCTGACTGAGGCTGGGTGCAACAAGTCTGTCCATGTCTGCAGTATGGGTTGAACAAAGCTGAGCTTACACAAAGCCTGTCTGGTCAATGACTGCACTTCAGAGAACTCTGTGCCCTGATCTACTAGAACATGAGCGAGCCGTATACATTCTAGTAGTTGATCCCTGGGATACTCCTTCAGAGTTTGATAAGCATACTCCCTGTCATCAAACACTAGCAGATATAAATACACAACCTCATCCAGATCCATCCTTCCCAGCAACAAGCCAAGATGGCTTCCCTGTGCAGCCACTTCTGGTCAGGATTGGCCTTGGTGTAATGTCAGGGCTCCCAGGGTCTCCCAGGTGTAACTGACGCAGGGGAAACACAGACCTCAGATATGTGATAAACAATATAATTTATTAACACTAACAATACAAAACATAAACGCAGTGCAATACTAAACATAATACAGTGCAAACAAACCAACCACCCACAGATAACAGTACATACAAGCAAGCGTCGTCAGGGCAGGCCGGGTCAATATCAATAGGGCAGGTAGGTACAGGGGGAGCAAGCGGAGATTGGTCGGGGTCACAGGCCAGGTTCAGCAGTTAGCTAGCAGCGTAGTACAGAGGGTCAGGCAGAGGGATGGTCAGGGTCACAAGCCAGGGATCAGAACAGGTAGCAGGCAGCGTAGTACAGAGGGTCAGGCAGAGGGATGGTCAGACAAGCCAGGGATCAGAACAGGTAGCAGAGAATCAGACAGGAACAGAGAGCAGGAACAGGATACAGGGCCCAAGAGAAACACAACACCAAGGCAGAGTCTGCAAGTCTGGCCATCCCTTAAATACCCCAGCATAATCAGTTCCAGGTGTTAGCTGGCTGCAAAGTTGAGTCTCTGATTGCTGGGAGCATCCGCTGGCCAGCCCTGGTACTGCAGATCAAAAGGCAGGTGAGTCCCACCATTGCTGGCTAGTCCATTCCTGACAGCAGGATAGACTACTTTAAAGAGAAAGGTTTTCAGGGATCATCTAAAGGTGGATAGAATAGGAGATAGCCAGACAGACTGGGGTAGGGAGTTTCATAGGATAGGAGAAGCTCTGGAAAAGTCCGGGAGGTGAGCATGGGAGGAGGTGACATGGGAACTAGAGAGCAGAAGGTCTTGGGAGGATTGAAGAGAGAGGTTTGGTTGATATTTTGCAACCAGGTTGGTGATGTAGCTTGGGCAGAGTTGTGGCTGGCTTTGTAAGTTGTTGTTAGTATTTTGAATTTTATTCGTTGGACTAGTGGAAGCCAGTAGAGGGATTGGCAGAGAGGGGTAGCAAACACTGAATGGTTGGTAAAGTGGATGAGCCTGGCAGCAGTATTCATGATGGGCTGAAGGGGGGTAGCCTATGTAAAGTTAAGCCAATGAGGAGGAATTTCAATAGTTGAAGCGAGAGATAACCAGTGAGTAAATTAGGAGCTTTGTGGTATCATTGGTTAAAAAGGGGTGTATCCTGCAGATGCGGAGGTTGAGGCGGCATGATTTGGACAGGGATTGGATGTGGGCCTGAAAGGATAGTTCAGAATCCAGGGTTATCCCTAGCACCCTGGCATGCAGGACATTCAAGGACATTACCACTGCTGTTTTTAAATCATTCTTTTGTGGTTTTTGCATTATGCTTGGGGTCTATGTCTTGCTGTATGGCTCTTGTTTTCTTGCTGACTGCATCTGGATTTCTTTCAGAATTTCCCCTTATTTTACAACATTCATTCTACACTTGCAATCCTTCCAGGGCCTGCTTTATTGAAGCAGTCAAACAACATAATGCTGCTGTGACTGATGCTTTCACGATCATTCAGTCATACATTTTTAAAAGGCTTGTGTGCAGTATAACATAACTTTAAGAAATAACCACAAACATGGATGTTTTATTAGTCTCAAAATAGCACAAAACAGTTAACAATTTAATATTGACACAAGTGTCTTACGGGATTCCGTGGATCCTTAGTATTTTCCAGCTAACCTCAGGTGTGTGACGGACTGCATCACGTTTTCCAAGTATCTCCTGGTTACTGAAGAGAATTTCATGGTATCTTGCACCGCTGGAATCTTCCCTGTACTGCTAACAGAGTCCTACATGTGCCTACTGGCAAACTGTAGATGAATGTTATCTAAGTTTTAGTTAAGTGTCTTTGTTTTTTGCCCAACCAGGCTAGGCATTGGTACCTGCCCACTCCTGGATTGATTCTCCTCAAGATTTTTATATAAATGGGGTTCTAATTTTGTTTCATCATCCACAGAAATTAACTTTTGTTTTGTCATGGGGTGCAGTCGTTAGTGCAAGGGGGTGTGAGGCGAATTACCCAGTGTGCGTCTTATTGTCTGGGGGAACTTCAAATCTCCATCCCCCATGAAAACAGCAAATGCAGACTGCAGTCGGGACACTCAAAGTGCCCTTTGCTTGAATTTGCGAATGATGCTTTAAGGTGTCTCTTGGTATATTCAACTTATACAGAGTTGTCTTCCTACATATGTTTGTTTAAATTTTGAGAGCTGCCTAATTGGTGCATGCTTGGCTGCTCGGTGACATCCACAGGTGTTTTCAAACTCATATCAAAAGTCTTTAGGGGTTATAATGTTGAAGAAACCACATAAGAACCATTTACTACTGGAATTTTATCAAGTTAGTCCTTGTAGGATTTGATTCTGAATACAATTCCAAATGTACACTATAGTCCCTAAATCATTGGGGGTGAAAATTTTGGTCACACTGTTTATGGATCTGATTGTGAAAAGGGCACTTTTTATGGATCTGATTGTCACAAGCTGTCCCATGAATGTTTGGGTCAGACCTAAGAGCAATGGCCAGGGATTCAATAGCTATAGCAAATATCAAACGGGAAAGGGGGCACCCCTGCCTAGTCTCCCTCAATATTTGGATGGGATCTGAATGGAAGCCATGGAGCCAGACATTTGCTACTAGGTTAGCATATAACTCCTGTATGACTGAGAACGGATTATTTCCTGAACTAGGAGGTTTTTTTTTATTGCAACAAGTGTAAAGCATGTAAAACCATACAAAGAGGATACATGAAAAAAAGAAAGGACTTCCAATCAACATCTACCAATAAAGAATATAATATTAATTCATTAATTTCTTGTGATTCCTCACATGTGGTGTATGTTTTAGAATGTCCGTGTCATCTCCAATATGTAGGGAGAACTATGAGACAACTTAAAGAATAGAATAGGAGAACACATTAATAATATAAAAAAGGTTTTGACAAACATAGCGTCTCTAGACACTTTAAATTGAAACATAAGAGTGATCCTAGTTTATTAACTTTTTATGGTGTTGAAAAAATTAGACATCATTGGAGAGGTACTGATATGGTATTGAAGTATCAAAGAGAGAAACCCATTGGATATAGAAATTGGATACTTTGAGACCCAAAGGGTTGAATATTGATATGAATTGTTTTCTCACAAATTTTTGACAATTATACATTTTTGTTTTTATTGTTGGGGTTATACATCATACCCTGATTATTATGGGTGTTGATTTTTATGAAATGTAAATTGATAAAAAAAAATTAGATTTTTATATATTTTGTAGAGTTAGATGTCAACAAAAGATGGGTATGCATGGCAATATATGTTCAGATATGTATATGTGGCATACAGTTTGAGGTCTAAATCCTTCTCTGACATGCCAGTTATTTCGTATGTTGGGGTTGGAGTTCTTCCTCAAATGTATGTACTGGCCCTTTAAATTATTTTTTTTTATATGTATTGCATTGCATTATAATTTTTTTATGTGTAATGTTGAATTTAAATATTATTATCCTTATAGTAGATGTGTATATTGGCCTTTTAATAACCCATTCACATATATTTTTTGATGAGATATATGCATATTGTTAAGGTTATAAATGTTTGTATAGAGGTATTGGCCCTTTAAATATTCGATCTCATATATATGCATATCATTATATTATATAGATTTGTATGTCAGCTGGCTAGAAAGTATTTACAGTTAATATTATGTTTATATATGTTGCCTGGTTAAGATGTCAATTGGCTCTGCATGATTGCGGTTGCAGAGAATAAATTGGCAGGGTGTAGAGACTCACGTCCATCTGCTCTATGAGGACGTCTGGTGACGAAACGCATAGGGTGCAGCTTTTGGAGGTGACGTCACGTCGTTCAGCTTACTGTCGGCATCTGTGGATGCCGAGGGAGGATGGGTTGATTTTTGCTGAGAACACTGGTATGTTGGTGTCTGCTCGGACACCAGTTATTGTGAGTGTGATATGATGTTTTATAAATAAATTCCTTTTTTTACATTGCTACACTATGAGTTTTCTCCTCTCTTGCTTTCTGAGCCTATTCCAGGTTTGAAAAGATGTTAATGCCACTTTGAATTATTCCATATA